CTGTATTTGAATAAATGTAGATTGTTGTACATGAAAAAAATAAAACATCCCCTGAAAATAAGCCCTACTGCATTTTTTTGGAGCAAAGATTAATATAAGACCCTGTCTTATTTTCAGGGAAACACAGTATTATATATAATGAAATATTTTTATATTGTAATTTATATTAGATTGTCATTATGTAAAATGTAAATTATAATTATATATGTTTTTAAAAATATGTCAATGATGGCTTTATAGCGATTCCCAGCCTGTGGGCGCTGAGTGGGGGGAACCCTCTGGGGTCAATGTTGTCAGACAGAAATTCCCAGAATCCCCCATCACTGGCAGAGGCTTCTGGGAGTTGAAGTCCAGCAACGTCTGGGACCTCAAAGGCAGGAAATGCTGGCCACAAGGTCCCTTCCACCTTCCCCCCAAACACACACTCTTACCGCTCATGCTCCTCCTTCAGGTTGCTGTGCTGTTCGGCCAGTTCCTGGTGACGGCGCTCAGCCTCTTCCAGATGTTTCTTCTGCTCCCGGAGAGCCTCTTCCCGCTCTTCAAGGCCGGTTTTCTGCCCCAACAGCTGGCTATGCCTGTTGGTAGACAGGGCGGGAGAGAAAGGGTTGGATTTGACATCAGTAAGGCAAAAGGGAAGATGATTTTCGCTGTATGGGCTAATTAATTTAAAGCACTGTGGTTCAAAATGTAACTTTAGTTACACTTAAAGTGAACATCATTTAGATGTTCAAAAGCATAGGGGACAAAACGTTGAAGAACACTTGTTAAAGTTACACTTTAGTTACTTTAAATGTAACTTTAGTTACACTTAACATGTTACTTGAAATGTAACTTTGTTACTTTGAAATGTAACTGGAAATGTAACTATATGAGCTGAAGGTTCTCTTATCTAATGAGTCCTTTCTGGAGGTTTACCTGCTCTGCAGTTCTCGGTATTCCTGCTCCAAGCGGCGCAGATCTCCCTTGAGGCTTGACTGCTTCCCCATCAGCCCTTCCAGATCTACTCCCTGTCGCTCATGCAGCACCGTCAAGCGGTCATGATCCCGCAGAAGAGCCTCGTAGCGTCCCCGCCACTCTTCCCGTGCCCGCTGGGAGGCCTGGGCTTCTGACTCCGCAAAAGCCAGCCTCTGCCGCAGATCCGAGAGCTGGGATTCCAGTAACACCTGCTGGGAACGCAGCAACGCCGCCTCCACCTTCCAGAAATGCAATTGTGACAAATCAGGGAGAGAGAAAGAAAGAGAACCTATAAACAAATGATCATTGTTAACGGTAACAAAAAGCCTCCAAACGCAATCCTCAAGGGGCCAACTTTATGTCACGGATAGCACATCGTCAGAAGTGGGAATTCCTTGAGGGCTGAGAACGCCTGATTGTCACAGCAAGCGACTTTTTTTTCCACACCTCCTGTAGTTCGCACCTTAGCTTGCTTTGCTTTGTGATTGGTCGTCAGAAGGGAAGTACAGGCTTCATTGGTGAGTGAGATCCCTCCTTCCTGAGGATGTATGTGCCAGAATGACGATCCTGGGACATGAACAGATTTTAGCCCCATTGCTCCGGGATGAGACTTGGACGTACTGTTTTATAGAGGCTCTGGACTTTTGAGGAGGACAGGATGCGGAAGGGGATGCCGGGGAAATCTAGTTCCACACCCTGACACTGTTGGCCTGTGGTGTTCTTCAACGTTTTGTCCCCTATGCTTTTGAACATCTAAATGAAACAGCTGCGGAAAGATGTAAACTTTCTGAAAAATTCCATTTTTTCCAGACAAAAACATATTTCACCTCTGGTTTTTTACCTGGAAAAAAATGGATTTTTTTGCAAATTGTACATCTCTACCACTGGGAAAAGCTGCCACAGGTTTTGGGGTTCGGTGTCATCAGTGTGCGGACGACACCCAAACCTACCACTCCTTGACCTCTGAAATCGGAGGAAACTGGCTCAGCTCTAGACGGGTGTCTGATGTCAGTGATGGCCTGGAGGAGGGTGAATAAACTGAGACTTACATATTTAATTTATACACCACCCATCTAGATTGAAGTCTGCTCGGGGTGGTTAACAATAATAGATAAAATAAAAACAATATAATAAAATAAAAAACAACAGTACAGTAATAATATAGTTCAAGATGGGAAAATCAGGACAAAACAGAGGTGCGCCTAGTCCGTTGAAAGGGTTTGGGGAACAGGGACGCAACCTGGATGGGGATGGGGTTACCCTCGCTCTGAAAGCCTCCGTGCGCTTCTTGGGGTCCCCCCGGACTCCTCTTGGAGCCTGGATGCTCGGGTTTCCGTGCTGGCCAAGAGCGCCCCTGCCTCATTAAAACTCGTGCGCCAGTTGGAGAGGGTCTGATCTGACACATGCCTTAGTTACCTCCTGGCTGGACTACTGTAGCCCACGTTACGTGGGGCTGCCTCTTTAGAGTGTCAGGAAATTTCAGCGGGTCCAAAACTCCGAGTGGGGTTTTTAAATGGACTGTTTTACCTTCTGGAATTGAATGTTGGGACCTAAGCTTTGCAAGACAGCGATTTAAACAGCTGATCAGCGGTTCGCAAAGCGGCTTTCCTATGGCCGATCTTCGCTAGACAACGACGATTCTTCCACATTGGAATGCATTAAACAGGTTTTGCCGCCTAGAGTAGTCTTAATTGATTAGATAGGCGGGATATAAATAAAATAAATAAATAAATAAACAAATAAATAAATGCATTCCAATGGGGGGAAATGCTTTTCGCTACACGATGATTTCGCTAAACAGCGATTTCTATGGAACGGATTATCATCGTCTAGCGAGGCACCACTATATTGTATTCCTTTGGACCTTTCAGGATCAGACTACCTGTTGTTAGCTTTGTTGTTGTTTAATTGGTGTAAGCCATCTCGGGCCCTTTTTTAAAGGAGAAAAGCGAGATAAAAATATTTTAAAGAAATAGATAAATAAAATTAAATGCAGAGGTCTTAGGAATCCAGGTCCTGAACTGACCAGGGTGGGAAGAGAGGTTTGGGGCCGGGGGGAGAGACATCTCTTGCAGCCTCACCTGCGACGCCTGGCTCTGCGCCTGCCGTTGCTCGCTTTCTTCGTCCGCGTTGCTGCCCCTTCCCTGCCGCTTGGCCCGTCGGCTGTCGACGTGCGACTCCAACTGACTGAGCCGCTCTGCGAGGGTCGATTTCTCAGCCTGCAGGACCGCATTCTGGAACGAGAGGACCTGGTTGAAACTGGCAGAACCCAGCAAGGAGGAGAAAAAGTGTGGGGGGGGAAGCCTTGAAGGTGGTGCCACCCATCCCTCGGCCACCCCAAAAGTTCCAGAGTGGGGTATTCCTCGTTGCAATCCAAACCCAGCTGTGAGGGAGCACCTCTCGTCTCTGAGAGGCATAGGACTACAAGACCCATCAATGGCAGAGTCTACTGGGTCAGCGTGATGGGCGTCATAGGCCGACACATGGCAAGACTAAACATATGGAAGTAGCGAATGCTATACATATACAAGCCTGGTAAAGACATCCTAGAAATACATGTACTGTAAATACATATTTCTGTGAATTTTTTTTTCATTTAGCGTTTTCAGGCAGTGGATAAGCGAATCAGTGGATACTGATCCCACAGAGAGAGGAGTCCTGCTGTTTCGCATGGACTCATCCCCTGACAAATGTCAAAAGCTCCCAATAAGACATCTTATTTATTCTTTCCTCATTTAAAGGTTTTTTTAAAAAATCCTCTTGTTCCAGAACACCGTGCAGCAAAACACGAAAACACAAAATGGGAAATAAAAGCAACGATTAGAAAAGTAATAGCAAATTTAATCCGGTGTCCGATCTGTGTTTTCAGCCGCTAAACCCCGAACTCAATAATTGGGATGAGATCAACAAGTGAGGTTAAGACTCTGTAATGCTGAAATGTTTCGATGAACTTCATCGAGCCCTGCTAAACTGAAGTGAGGTCATGATTCCTTTCAAAGTCAGATTTAAAATAACCCTTTAAAAAAAAAGATTAGGAAAGAAAGTGCAAGCTTTTAGTATGTAAAAATGATCAGAAAATCAGAATAAAAGACCTGGGTCGCTCACAGGAGGCTTTTCAAGCTAAAACTACTTATATTGGAGATAGAGGGGAGGTGAAATCTGCAGTTTGGACAGATTACTTTTCTGGACTACATGTCCCAGAATCCCCCAGCCGGCTGTCTGGGGGATTTGGGGACATGTAGTCCTAAAGAGTAGGTCCAAACTCTGAGAATCATCGGACGGAAAAGCATCTCCTGTTTTAACTCGTCTTCCATGCTTCAACTGTGCGCTCACCTCGCGTTCCACTTGAATGAGTCTCGCACTCAGGGCCTCCGTTCTCGCCTCCAGCTGGAGGGGCAGCGCCTCTGTGTCAGGGGGGCTCTGGCCCACGGGGAGCTGCGTTCGAGGCTCTAGGAGCGGCGGGGCGACAGCGCTGCTTTTTGCCTAAAGAGGGAACAGCATGGCAGCTGAGGTCTAGAAAAGGCAGAAGGACCGCAGCGACAACCTCTTCTTCCATGGGAAAAAAAGAGGTGAAAGCTAAGGGCTGGAAGCTGGATTTGCAGCCAGCCGAGAAGCCTTAAACACCCGGCAACCATTTTAATTTCCCACAATCCCCAAAGCCATGTCTCACACCAGGGGCATTGTGGGAAATTCAGTCTTCTGCTTGATGGCGGGCACTTTTAAACATCCGTTAAAATATTCCACCCTCCTTTATTAATCAGCAAAGTACGTACAGTATTCAAAAATCTGAAAGCACAGCTTGAAAAAAACATATATATGGATATGGATAAGCCAAATATATACAGTACACATGATAAGCCATATATATATGAAATGAGATCTCTTCAGGGCTGAGATGATGATGATAAGGATAAGATAGATAGATAGATAGATAGATAGATAGATAGATAGATAGATAGATAGATAGATAGATAGAGACCTTCTGGATCATCAAGTCCAATGTCCATTAAGGAAGCCCAAGGGAAATTCGAACTCCCCACCACTGGCTCCACAGCCTAAGCCACTGAACTACAGATAGATAGATAGATAGATAGATAGATAGATAGATAGATAGATAGATAGATAGATAGAGACCTTCTGGATCATCAAGTCCAATGTCCATTAAGGAAGCCCAAGGGAAATTCGAACTCCCCACCTCTGGCTCCACAGCCTAAGCCACTGAACTATTTGGCAGTTCCCAGGACAGCTGTAAAAAAGGATCTTTTCGAAACTCTGCGCTGAGAGTAAAACCTCAAGGAACGCAGTGGGGGTTCCTTCCGAAGTGCTATGCAGAATAGTCGGCTGTAAATGCTGCAGCTTCTCAATCAAACCAGGGAGACCCGGGTTCTAATCCCCCACTCAGCCATGAAGTTCCCCAAATAACCACAGTACCATCATGGTCTGGTTTGGAAGAGGAAACAATTAGCCCTTGGGTGAGGGGAGGGTACCCTATTACAGATTCTCTACCTGTTGGTTATTTGTAAGCCGGGCCACACGAGCCTGCAGTTCTTCCAGCTGCCTTTTGAGGACGCTGTTCTCTTCCTCCACACCCATCTTCTTCCCATCCGAGGGTCCCGCGTGTTTCTCCTCCCTAGACAGAAAACGTCATCCCCAGAAGCAAGAAAATATGATTCAAGACGTGCTAACCTTTTCCACTAGTGGGGGAATGAAATTCTGGGCCAACAGGAGGGTCGGCAACCGGAATGGGCCAGGGCTGGGGAACGTTAATTTTTTTTATTTTTTGGACAAGGAACAAAACACAACACAACGTGAATTTTAAAAAGAGGTCAAAATCGGCTATATTTTAACGGTGAGCTTTCATGGATCAAGTCCACTTCATCAGACATAAAAAGGAGATATCATTTATACCTGGCACCTTGGCCAGGTGGCAGCACATATAATGGACCAACTGACAATGGTCAGTCAGCACAGCAGGGCAGAAGCTGAAAATTGTGCGCATAAATGTGGCGTTTCACCCTTGTTAATCATTTAACGCTCCTGACTGATTGATACTCAGCTTTTTTTCCTTTGAAGCTTTGTTCTGTAAAAGTGACAACAGCTTGTTGGTAAATAAAGACTGTGGATAACAACAGCAGATTACGACATTGTAGCATTTCACACTTGGCAATGAATTAAAAACCCCTGGCTGGTGTTTAATCCTTTAAGATGAGTCCCCAGCATCTGTATATATTTTATTTCACCTCTTTTCCCTTTGAATTATGGCTCTGTGATGCTTCTTGTCCAGAATCGCGACTTTCAAATCCTGTAAAGAATGTCCAGGTAGACCAAAATATCCCGAAAAATGTTTCTGTGCACTGCCATTCCTGATGTCTGATTTATGTCCATTAATGCTTTTAATTAATGGACATAGTCAATTATATATATGCACAGAAACCTTTTTCCGGATATTTTGGTCTGCCTGGACATAAAGCCGTCAGTCAGCCTCAGTCTTAGTCTAGCACCCCAACCACTGGCTCCTGAGTCTAAAATTTCGGAGGCTTCCTACTAGAGACAGAAATAAGGAGCATGATCCTAGTCCTACCAACAAGAGTAGACTTATAGATTCACTGTTTTTTTTTTACCTAAATGTTGATTTACCATTCAACAATTGATTCAAGGGGGTCTACTCTAGTCTGGATTAGCCCTAAGAAACTCTTCCTCTCTTTCTTCACATCGGAGTGCTGCGCATCAAAAACCGATCCAAGGTATATTCATTTTAATCACAGCAATCATCTTTTAATTTTTGTAAATAAAAATTAGCAGATCAGTGCTGAAGTAAGACCTTTCCCCCTCTTTCTCAATCCGTCTCTCACAATCTCTGGTTCTTTTTGGCCAATGAAATCAATGGTAGACTTGTTTTTAACTGATTTTCCATTGTACATCATTTAACAGGTACTTACCTGTACTTCTCACTTCCTGCTTCTTCCTGAAGAACGGCTTCCTTTGTCAACATCTGCTCCCTCAGCTGAGCGAAGGTGGATTCTGCCCCCTTTCCCTTCGCTTTCTCCTGCTGAAGCTCCTAAAACGAGGAGGAAATAAATTGAGGCTGGTAGGGGGAATCTACAGCAGCTCTCCCCCCCACCCCCGTTTCACACCACCTCTAGTGAACTATGGCCACTTCTCTCCTAATCCCATCATCTTATCCTTAAGGTTCTAGTCCTCAAGAGCAATTTAAGCTCCAACTTTCCCTTCTTTGCAGTAGTCCCGGAAAACTGTGTTCAACTCTGGCTAGAATGTTCTTACGTTTGGGAGTGGGAGGATGAAGCTTTTTAGAGGGTATGTAGAATAAGACTCTCATATCCACAGGATCAATAGTAAAACTATATTAAAAGAAAAAGCCTAGAAATATATATTTCTAAAGATGAAGTTACCACAATTGGCTACTAGAGGGAGCCAGAAACCACACTACGTATAGGTAAAGGTAAAGGTTCCCCTTGACAAAAAATTTTTTGTCCAGTCGTGTTCGAGTCTAGGGGACGCTGCTCATCCCTGTTTCCTATCTATAGTGTTCACTATTAAAATAATATTCGCTATAATCTGTGTTTTTCAACAACCAGGGTGGGCACGCTTGGAACCAATCCCTCATGAATACGGTATATAGTAAAACTGCAGTACATAGTAAAACTGCAGTACCCATAAGTGATCAATTCCAAGCCAACCTTCAGAAGCCCAAAAAAAGTGGATATATTGACGCCTATACATTGCATGGTCTCTGGCTCCTTCTATTGACCAGTTCTAGTAAACACACCCATGTATAAATTTGTATACTGTATCTGGGTTTTTTTATTTACCATTTTCTGGCAGCAGATATACTACTGTATACTGATCCTGTGGAGGGGGGCGTCCTACTGTATTAATTCTAACTGGTCCTATTACTGTAACCGAGTCTTAGGGCCCTTTTTGGTTACTTCCCCAGATCTAGGATCTAGGTATTTGCCCCAAAGTCGTCTTTCGATGGTGCCACTGGCCAGGACTAATCTGAGATTTGGCTACCTTGGCACTGGTGAATCAGTAAATCAGTGTCTCTAATTGGCCAGGATCCGTCACTAAATAAAACAAGCGTCAAATGACAAAATAAGGTGTTCTGGCGACTTTAAAGCAGTCTTGTCCAAAATACTGCCCTCCAGAAGGGTTGCAAACCAATGTGGTGTATCAGATAGAGTGTCAAACTAAGATTTAGGAGCCCTGCGTTCAAATCCTCGCTCGACCATGCTAGCTCACAAGCAGGTTGGCAGTGCTAAGCCACTCTTTGAATACCGTCATAAACGAGGTGGCCTGACTGCTCTTAAGAACACGAACAAGAGCAAAATTGGACTTCCAGTACCATAATGCCTCAAGCTGCTATTACAACTTATTGGAGGGGATGATGGGACTTGCAACCCAACACATAACGAGGGGGACCGACTTGCAGAAGGGCTGCCATGAGATCGGAAACCTCCAGGAAGAGAAATCCCACCCTACGGGACTGGTTTCATGGCCCACTTGCTCTTCTTAACATTTCTCCTCATCCTTACATCAAATCAGTCCTCTTGTAATTTAACATAATTAAATCTAGTTGTCCCTCATAGATATTTAACATGGTCTCGGTTTCCGTTCTCATCCCTACAGCACCCTCTGCTGGGACAAAAAATCTGATCCATTAAAAAAAAGCAAAGGCTATCTCGCATGGGGAAACCCACTGAAACCTGAGAACAGCCATTTTAATTTCCCATAATTCCCCTAACCAAGCTCCCTAGGGCATTGTGGGAAATTAAAATGGCTGCCGGGTGCTCAAATTCCTGCGTTTGCTGAAGCCCGTTGCTGAAAGCGGTCATGTCTGTCCACTTGCTGTTTGATCTGTTCAACTGTGATTACATTTTTTTATCCTTTCTACTACTAATATCTCAGAGTGAATGACTGAGACGCTTAAGTGCCACTTCACGAGAAAGGGGTGGTCTACTCGGAGGAAGATAAAGCTGCTCTGATCTGCGGATCCCTGCCTTTCTGCTGCGCAGCGAGAGGCATTGAACCCAAAATAACAAACTCTGCAGCAGATGCCAGATGTTAAACACGGAGTCTCATTCCAGAAGTAACTTTTTCCTACCACGGAGGCCCTGTTACCTCCTTCAGCCTGGCTGAAGTTTCGCACTCGGCGTCCAGCCGTTCCCGCAGGCCAGCCGCCTCTCGCTCCGAATCCTGGAGCTGCCGGGCGGCCTCCCGCAGGCTGTCCAGCTCCCTGGCCTGCTGCCGCGTTTGGGCCTCCAGGCGGGCGAGGCGGGCGCCCTGAGCGGCCAGCGCTTCCTCCTGGACTTGAACCTGGGCCTTCAGCCGCTGGCCATCCTTCTCCAGCCGCCGGCGCCGGTTCTCGGCTTCGCTCAGCATCTCCTCGAGAGCCCCCTTCTCGGCTTCGAGCTGCGCCAGTGCGATCTTGTGCTGCTCTCGGCTCCTCTGCAAAGCGTCCAGCTCCTTCCGGGCGTTGTGCAGGGCTTCGTCCGCCTGCCGGGCTTTTTGGGCCAGCCGGACCCCTTGCAGCCGCTCCTCCTGAAGACTCCGCCGGGCCTCCTCCAGTGCCAGCTCGGCCTGCGTAGCGGCTGCTTGCAGGGCCCCGGAGCCGGCTTGGAGGATTTCCTGCTCTCGTTCCAAAGCCTGGATCTCCTCCGTCAGGCGCTCCCTCTCCAAGCGCCACTGTTCACGCTCTCGCTCTTGTTTCTCCAGAGTAGCAGCATGAGCTTCCTGCAAACTTCTCAGGCTGTCTTCCAGACCCAACCTTTGGTGGGACTCTGCTTCCCGACGCCGCGCGACCTGGCTCGGTGGGATCCGAACCTCTGGCAGGGCGGACTCCCTTTCGCCCAACAACCCCTCCGCTTCTTGCTTCTGACTCTGTGTTTTCCTCTTATCTGGGACCAAACCTTCATGACCTCCTTGCTCTTGGCCTTTAACTATAGCAAGGTTTTCAGCTCGGACTTTCGGCTCCGGTTCTGCCTGGCTCTGCGGTGGTTTTAGCTAGAGGAGGTACAAAAGAGAGAAATGGTTAGCATCTCAGCTTGAAATTTAATCCCTCTTTTCATGCTAGAGTTGACTGGATAGCTCTTTGAGTTAGATCTCTGGCTTCAGAGCCAGAGGTTAGGGGTTCAAATCCTCCACTTTGCCTCCAGGAAGAAAAGCCAACCTGGGTGACCTTGGGCAAGCTGCACAGTCCCACAGCGCCCCTAGAGGAAGATAAAGGTAAAGCATCTCGGAGTATTCTAAGAAAAAAATCTCCAGAAACAGTCACCATAAGTCAGAACTGATTTGATGGCACATCACGATGATGATTATTCCATTCTAGGGTGGCCAAACATCATACATTGCCCCCTGAAAGATAAAAGACATCACCCCTGAAAAGGAAAGTGGACAGATCTCTCTATTGCAAAATACTGCGTGCTTAAGGAACCTTTCGCAACCCACTTTCATCATTTCCTGGCTGGTTCTCGCACGCCCAGTCGCGCATCGAATCTGCAGCCCGATGCACTCCTTGACCTCGTTCTGTCGCAGGACGCAACAGGCACTCCAAAGGGCTGCACGCAGCAGTTACGCAAATGTTTTGCATAAAAACCGGCATCTGCTGATTTATGGGGAGGGATGCAAATCTGGACGTGATTGAGCTGGTTATTCTTTGTCTTAAAGTGAAGAAAACAGTGACGAAGTGAAACACACGGTCTGCGGCCAGTTATATCCAGCGGCTTGCAGACAGAATCATTGCAATGACCTATGACTGATGCTGTTAACTGTTAAACTCTTTTTTTTTTGTCTTTGTGCAATTTCCTTGATCCGTGATACGCTGTTCTCCTTAAATTCTCATTTGAACTGTACTAAGAAATGTAAGGCTTTTTAAAAAAAATCTAACGATGCAATATCTGGCCCTGTATTTCAGGATAACAGGTGAGCTTAGAAAGGTGAGCTGGCCGGGAGTAGCAAGTTGGATGAGAACTCAGACCTGGGTTCAAATCCTGGCCAACTCTGCGAACCTATTTATTCATTGTTCTTAGCTTTAAGAATGGAATTTTAATAATAGTAACCACTGTTGCATGCTTACTGTTTTAAATATTGTCATTCAGTGTTGTAAGCCACCTTGGGTCCTTTTCAAGGAGAAAGGCGGGGTATAAAATATTTGAAAGAAATACTTATACTCCTCTTTTAAAATCTTTCCATACCTTGAACACTTCTCAGGATGGACATGAAGTGACTTAATCTTTATCATCATCATGATCTGTTATCAATTATCCCACAACAATGGGCACAAAGTACAGGAAGCCAGATTTAGGCTGAATATCAGGGGGAAAAACTTTTTAACGGTTAGAGTAGTACAGCAATGGAACCTATGACCTCCAACGCTGGAGGCCTTCAAGAGAAAATGGGACCAACCTCTATCAGATCTGCTTTGATTTATATTCCTGGCTAGAGCAGGGGGTTGGACTGGATGGCCTTCGAGGGCCCCTCCAGCTCCATTATTCATAGAATAATGCAGAGCTGGAAGGGACCCTATAGATCATCAAGTCCAGCCCCTTCCAAGAAGGCACCGTGGGGGATTCGAACTCTCGACTTGATGGCACATCGCAATAAACGGTGTACCTGGTCATCACACCCCTCTCTGTCCTCCCACCCCGTCCTAGTAAGGGATACCCAAGAAGGCCGCCTCGCTCTGCCTCACAGCCCTCCAGCCCTTGCGTCTGTTCCTTCCATACCTCACGGTCAAGGACGGCGTTTTCCGGCCTTAGGGTCACCTCCTTCGTCTCGAGCGCCTCCTGCAGCTTCCGCCGTAGCTCCTGGTTCTCGCGCTCCAGGGCCGACCATTGGCCGGCCTCTTTTATTTCGTAGCCCAGCAAGAGGGGCGCCTCAGAAGGTTCTAGAAAGGAAGGACCAAACCCTTCACATCTGGGGTTGCCACGGAGACCAAGGAGCTGGTGATGGAGGAGAAGCAGCGTTTTTCCACCCTGGGGTGGAGGGGGGCTCACCTCTGGGGGTCCAGACACTCTCTATCTCTTCCGCCCGGAGGACCTCGGGGGTCTCCCCAAAAGTTTGCCTCAGCTGTCTTTCAAGAGCCATCTTCTCTCCCAGAAGGTCTTCGGCTTGCTGATACAGGTGGTCCCGTTCCTGCAAATAAGAGCCTGTGCTTTCGTTTCTAAAAAGACCAACACGGATCCCTCTGCCTTCCTTGGCAAACTTTACAAACCCTTTTAGCATCATCCAGGTAGGGCTATGTGAGGGAGAAGTCCCTTTCTCCAGCCTTTGTTACAGAGTTCTCAGATTTCTGGGAACATTTTATTTTATTTTATTTTTGCTACACAGCAGAAATCCACAGAAGAGAACAGCTTCAAGTTCCCCAGATAGTCCACTCCTTCATTAACTGGCACTTAAAGTCTCAATAACTCACTCTGAGACATTTGTAGGAAGAAAACAAAGCACTGATTGAGTTTGCTTGAAATTACGGTCTTCTTTATACTGCTTTCTTTACTGCACAATACCGTATTTTTCTGTTTATAAGACGACCCAATGTATAAGACAAACTCCGCCTTTTCTCACCCCAAATTAGAAAAAGCAGGGATCAAAGGGCTCCCTTTTTTGCTAAGTCCCGTGCCTTGGCAAAAGGCAAGGAAAGCGGCTGTCAAAGTGACCAATGCTTTTCCTTGCCTTTTGAGAAGGCACGGAGCTTAGCAAAAAGGAAAGGAGAAAGGCCCTCCCCCATTTGACGGAGCTTAGCAAAAAGGAAAGGAGAAAGCCCCCCCCCTTCGTTTTTGCTAAGCCCTGTGCCTTCGCAAAAGAGCTGCCTTCCATATATAAAATGACCCTCATAATTTTTTCCAAATTATTTAAGGAAAAGGTATCATTTTATGCACAAAAAAATATGAGTGGTAAAGAGCTGCCTTCCATATATAAAATGACCCTCTTTTTTTTCAAATTGTTTAAGGGAAAAGTGTCATTTTATCCAGGGAAAAATACGGTACTTAGCAACCAACCAAGCAGATCAACAGCAAAGAAACCACAACTGACCCCAACCGAGAAAGAGCAGGATAGAACGCTCAGCAGAGAGGTGGGTCTCTCTTCAAATTTCCAGAGCAGCTGCCTTCCATATATAAAATGACCCTCTTTTTTTTCAAATTGTTTAAGGGAAAAGTGTCATTTTATCCAGGGAAAAATACGGTACTTAGCAACCAACCAAGCAGATCAACAGCAAAGAAACCACAACTGACCCCAACCGAGAAAGAGCAGGATAGAACGCTCAGCAGAGAGGTGGGTCTCTCTTCAAATTTCCAGAGCTGGATAGATAATCCACCCAGCCCTGAAAAATCCCTCCCTGTCACTCAAACCATGAACAACATTTAAAATTGTAAATAAAACTCTAACATCTTCCCATGTCAAGAAAAGATTTAAGAGTTTAATTTCTTTTCAGGAAGAAACTGTTGACGTATGAGAACGGAGTCCTTTTTAAAAGGTGGCCACCCTTCCAGAAAGGGATGCAATAGAAGTTTTTTTTTAAATAAATTGCAACCTGCAGCAACCGTATTGCGACCCTCTTAAGGGTGTAGCACGTTAGAGAGTACAGTCCTCTAACTGAAGCTGAAGGTAAGTCCTCTTTTTGGAGGTGTCCTATGACTGAAAGGCAATCCGACCCAATAAAGATAAAGAATCCACAGAGAATCCGCAATGAACAAACAGCACATGGAGCCTGCAAATCCACACAAGACACCCAGCCACAGTCTCCACCTCTATGGTAAGATGTAGAGTAGGTCTATTTAAATTAATGCAGTTACAGTAGCAGCCCTGTATCTACAGGGAATGGATTCCAAGCCCCCCTGTGGATGCTCAAAAAATAAAATTATAGTAAACAAACATTATGATAGCAAGTATTATACATAGTATGGTCTCTGGCTCCCTCTGCTGGCCAGTTTTGGTAACTTCACCGTTAAACATTTCCAGGATGTTACTTTAAATATTTTTAATACATACATAGCATGGTCTCTGGCTCCCTCTGTTGGCCAGTTTTGGTAACTTCACCGTTAAAAAATTTCTAGGATGTTACTTTAAATATTTTTAATACTTTCAGACTGTGGATAAGTGAATCAGCGGATACGGATCCCGTGGATAAGGGGGTCCTACTGGATTTTCAAATTTACATCCATAAATTGAATCGGCTCACAAATATTTTTGTGTAAATCTATGCCTTCTTTAACCGTGGAGACTAGTGGAGGTTAGAAGGGCTTCTCTATGGGGACTCTTCGGATCGGGGCCTCTCACCTCCTGCACCTGGTTCAAGCAGGCTTGAAGATGCATCTTCTCCTTCTCCAGCTGGTTCAGCCGCTGCTGCCCTCGGGCACGGGCTGCTTCCAGTTGTCCCTCCAGCATAGCCTTCGTTTCCAACAGAGCCTGGGAAAACCCGCGCTCCTCCTGCCAACACAAAACCAGCTCCGTCACCCCGAGAGGAAGTGAGCACTTCAATGCATTCAAGAGAAAAGTGGACCACCACCTGTCGGATCGGCTTTGATTCAGATTCCTGCCTTGAGCAGGAGTTGGGGTTGGACTGGATGGCCTTCGAGGGCCCCTTTCCAACACCATCATTCAATGATTCTAACAACAACAAAGAGAGAGAGTGGATCTACGAAGGAGGCCTCTTACCTTGAGCTGGGCCCGGCACTGCTCCAACGCAGGCAGCCGTTCTCGCAGGGCGGCCACCTCTGCTTGAAGCCGTTCCGTCTGTAACGCCTTCTCCCGCAAAGCATCCACTTCGTCCCGGTACAGCCCTGCGAGGCGGGCCTCGCCTGCCAACTCTCGGTTCTGGGGAAGGCAACAGTGCATAAAGGCATGTAGAACTCAGTGACTCCCAAGGAGTACCAGAAAGAAGATTGCGTAGTGTAGCATAGCGTGTAGTGGATAGTGTGACAAACTACCGTATTTTTCTGTGTATAAGACGCCCCACGTATAAGACACCCACACTTTTCTAATCCAAAATTAAGAACTCTAAGTGGGGCTTAGCAAGTGTAGGGGGGAAAGGGATCAAAGCCCTGCAGGATCGCTTTGATCCCTGCTTTCCCTTCCACTTGTTTTTGTTCTCTCCTCAGCTTACTTCCATGTATAAGATGACCGTCAATTTTCAGTCTAAAGATTTTAGACAAAAGTATAGTCTTATACATGGAAAAATATGACGGTAGTTTTCTGGAGACCACAGTTTGAATCCCCACTTGGCCATGAATTCAACTGGAGTGTGGAACTTGTAAAACTACTCCTTAAATATCTCCATTATTTTGAAAGCCTTATCAGAATCACTACAAGTGGGTTCCAACTTGACAGCACCAAACGAACGAACGAACGAATCAACCAACCAACCACCACAAGGTTAGCTTTCATTGGAAGGCATGAGACAAATCTTGACACAAGTTTTCTTTTCCCTACCAAGATTTGCAATGTGAATTACCCAAGAAGCTGCTATTGGACAGTATAGATAATACAATTTAAAAAACACACATAGATGGACAGGATCCATATAATAAGGCCATTTCCCAGTCTTTTCTCCCAAATCTCCAGCTTCTGTTTATCAAAACAAGAGAGAGGGAGGCAGGACGGCAAAGAAGCCAGCTTGAGTCCCATCGACGGGAGAGGGAAAATATGGGGTTAACAAACAAAAATAAAACAACAGGGCCAGCTTGATCTAAATGATTCCTTTCCTTCCATGAGAGTCTCCTACTATCCATCATCCTTACAAAGGATTCCAGGAGGGGAAAGTAAGGAAGTTGGAGGAAAAAAAAAACAGGAGGAGGGATTTTTTTCAGCTGGTCTCCGTCTTTTATCCCTAGCTTTGATGGGAAACACCCTTAAGATTTTGCTTTTTGCTATTGGAATGGGTTATCTTCTCAGTTTACTTCCGTGTATAAGACAACCCTTAATGTTTAAGTCTAAAGATTTTAGACAAAAGTGTAGTCTTATACACGGAAAATACGGTACTTAATTTATTGATGGATAGTGTGGTACAGTATTTGCTTGGTCCTTTTTAGCATTTGTATACTTACTGTTTTTTTTTTAGCTTTTAACTACAGTACACTGTCTTTCAGTGAAGTAAGCTGTTGTGGGTCCTTCTCAAGG